GCTAGGGTGACTTCACAGGAACAGGAAGCAAGCAGGGCCCGGAATAGCGCTTGGGCGCGCCACCGGGTCCTGACCCGCTGCGGGGTGCGGGCTAGTCCCTGCCTCCCCTGAGCCGGCCCGGTCCTTTCTGCACCGGTCAGCAGATGCGCGCTCGAGGGCTCTTTCTGTTCCTTTTCAATCAAACCTTTTTTTTTTTTGGCGTCCCCTATATGCCGGGCACTGTGCCACATGCCGAGATTCGGGTGGTGAACTTCGTGATCTACTTCAGCAATCTGTTTAATTCCAGGGCCAGGCTTCGCCTATCTCTGAGGACTAACGGGGCAGGCATTTTGCGAGACGAGCAAGGTGGGGCGGGTTGGGGTGGGGACATAATCTTCTTGGAAAGCCAAGGGCCTGTTAACTACTTTCCTGAAGTTCATAGTGCCCCGTGGCTGTGTGTGGCACATGCTCTGGCCTCCCTCACCCAGCTCTGTGATCTGGGCCCAGACCAGGATTCCTAGGTGTCACCTAATGTAGGAATCATGCCTCGGCCCCAGTTTCTTTCAGGAATTCTGGTATATTCATTTCCTATTGCTGTGTAACAAATTACTACAAATTTAGCGGCTTAAAACAACACACATTATTATCTCACAGGTTCTTTGCTTGGAGTCTCAGAAGGCTGCAATCAAGTTGTCCAGGGCCGCATTCTCCCTTGGAGACTCAACTGGGGAAGAATCCACTTGCAAGCCTATTCAGGTTGTTGGCAGAACTTACTTCCTTGCGACTGTGTGACTGAGGGCCTGGGATTTTTGCCAGCTGGATTTTTCCTGGAGGTTACCACAGATCCTTGTCAGGTAGGCTTCTCCAACTTGGCCACTTACTTCATCAAGCCCACAGGAGAGTCTCTAGTCCTAGTCAGCTAAGACAGAGTTTTATATACTGTAACTTATTATACAGTTAATCCTTGAATTCCATGGGTTTGAACTGCACAGGTCCACTTACACACGGATTTTTTTTCAATAAATACCTGTACTGTTTTCCATCCATGGTTGGGGGTCGTGGATGCAGATGGCTGACTATACTCATATATGTTGACCTGTGTCATTTTCTATTTTTCTTTCTTTCTTTTTAAAGATTTTATTGGGGAATTGGGGGAGGGAACAGCATTGGAGAATCAAGGAAGGGGAACAGACAAGTTGCTGTCCTTTTGTTCTTCAGTCTAGTTGTGGAGGATGTCGCTTCACTGGCCCATGTTGGTATTATGATCATTGCGCTCTTCTCGGCTGAGGCAGATTGGTCACCAGCCATCAGACGGCTGCTCACAGCAGCTCACGCCGGCTGCCGGCCACGCATGGGTTAGCTTACAGCAGCCCACTGCAGACCCACTGCAGCCTATGCCGTCGCCGGTGACTCGACCTGTGTCATTTTCCATAGAGGACTTGAGCATCTGTGGATTTTGGTATCTGCCAGGATCCTGGAACTGATTCCCTGTGGATATTGAGGGGCAACTAAATTTTGGGGGAGTCAAAAGTTAAACACAGATTTTTGACTGTGCAGGGGTCAGCACCCTTGCATTGTTAAAGGGTTAACTGTATATGTAATGGGAGTGACATCCCATCACCTTTGCCATATTCTATAGGTTAGAAGAAAGTCACAGATCCCACTTGAACTCAAGAGGAGAGGATTACACAAAGGTGTGAATACCAGGAGGTAGAAATCACTGGGGTCACCTTAGGGTCTGTCCATTAGACTGGGGTTACTCAAAAACCTAAGGAAAAGTACAGGAAAAGAGAGCTGGAGACTAGGCTAGGAGAGAGTAAGAAAGGAAGTTAAAATATACCATGGGGAGGGGTAGAAAGGCAACAACAGTGACTTCAAGGATCATTAATTGGTACACATGCCAAGGTCACTCGGCCATGCCTTTGGTGCCAAAGATTCTGGATTTGATGAGCCCTACCATGGAGTGAACCAAGTTGTGGGCTTCCTCCCCTCTCACTCCTTGGCTCTACAACAAAATCACAAAACTGAACATAATGGTTTCAGTACACATTCCTATTAACCCACTTTAGTTGGGTCCTCTTGCAACCCTAAACCTTTTCTTGCTTTGGTCCCTTCACAGAAACCAAAGCTATCCTACTTGATTTTCAGCTTCCCTCCTCTCTACCTCTTAATTTCTATTTGTATCTATCCTTTCCTCTCATCTTAAAAATGTGGACCTCCCTCTGCCCATGGCCAACCCACCACTCATGTCCTATCTCTCCTGTTCATTGAGACTGCAAACATATGCTCAATTTTCCTCCAGCAATTAAAAAGCAAAACTAAACTAAAATTCCAACAGCAGAAACAGCTTTCCACATTTGTCAACCGCCTCACTCTAGCTTCAGGCTTATATTTTTCTCTCTCATTAGAGTCATATTAAAGAGCAGCTACCATTCATTGTCATGTATTCATTTCTTAACTTCTTACAATTTGGCCTCTGTCAACATCACTCCCCTAAAGCTTTTATCTTAAATGTCCCTAGTGACCCATTTAGTGTGGCATAAACTACTCATTCTCACCAATACCCACAGTTCCCAGCCTCTCCTAGAAATAAGTGTGGCCATGTGACTGAATTCTGGCTAATGGATTGTGAGTGGAAGTGACAGCCTGGCCCATAAAACTTTCAGGTGCTGATCCTTGCACTCCTGCCCATCTGCTAGCAGAATGGAGGAGACGCTAAGAACCTAGAAGAGGGTGAATCCAGATGTCCCCATTCCAAGTTTCAGGGTCCCACTCCTCAATCATAGGAAAGACTTAGTAAGAGTGAATTCAACTGATGTAACTCTCTGCAACATGCACAATTTTTTTTTTGGTTCGTTTTATTTGTAGCAAATAAGTCTGGTGGCTACAAGAAATAAGAGATTATTTTATGGCTATCATGGAAGCGCTATGATTCTCTGACCATGACTTGAGCTAGGAGTTTAAAGACCCAAGCTTGTCATTTTCTGCAAGGACTGTGATGCATTCAGAAGACTTCCTCCCATACCAAGTCCCTACAGTCATCATCGCTGCCTTAACAGTCAAGTGCAACAACCACTTGGGCCCCCAAGGCACTTGCTTTAGTTGGCACTTAATCACAAGTAACCACAGGTGATAATTTGATGAATCACAATGTCACAGTATGCCATGGATTAGTAGCATCACGTTTCTCATTGGCAAGGAGTTTAGCACATTCAAGCCCAATGACACAACCAAACCAGTCCCCTAATCCTATATTTTAAGGGATCACTACTAGTATCAATTTCTGTAGCAGTCAGGGTCCAGCCAATGAGACAGCAACTACACGGTCATTGGACAGAGAGAATTTAATATAAAGAATGGTTCGAATGGTTAACTAGGTGTAGAGTTGTTAACTAGATTAACTGAAAGGGTAAAAAGAAAACTGAGACACCATGGAAACAGCAAGAGCAGGAAGCATCTATAACTCCTAGGGCTAGGAGAGCAAAGGGAAGAGTTTAGAATTGCAAAAACTTAGACACTTAGAAGAGGGGCCCTACAGAGTTTAAACTCAGACCTCCAAGTCTGGTGCTGGTGTCTCCGAACACCTCTGGGGAAAGGAGTGCTACCCAGTTGGTGCTGGTGTCTCTGAGTGGGACACCATGAAGTTGGTTCTGCAATTGTTAGGAAAAACTGCCAACTGGATCAGCTCCTGCTATAGGAAAGAACTGCTGCTGCCAGGGTGAAAAATCATTGCTAGGGTGACTTCACAGGAACAGGAAGCAAGCAGAAGAAAGGAGTTCTTTCTTCGTCCTCTGGCCTCACTATCTCCCTCTAGTGGCCCTTATTGCAGAGCCAAACAGAGCCAGCGGGCAAAGCAGAAATGTGATTTGCAGAATCCCAACTCTAGTATCTCATAGCGGAAAGTTGGGGGGTAGGTTTGCAGCGGAGTGACAAAATCTTAACTAGCTCAGGTTCCTTTGTAAAGTATTAGAAGGAAGAGGTGGACTTAGGCGAGAATTAGCTGGTATTCAAGCAGAGATAGAAGGCATATAGAGAAAGTCCAGAGATGATGGGCCTTTCAGGGTGGGAAACGCTGACTGATTCTGGATGACAAATAGTATAATTGTGGAAAAGGTCTTGAACAACAGGACTTGAAAGATGTGATCACTTCTAAGGCAAATATCAGGTGGAGAGTATGGCCTGCCCGCTTATTATTTCACACACCTTCCATATAGCCACCATTAGGTGGAGAGTGAGACAACGGGGTGATGAAACAAATCTTATCAGCTTGAGAATTCTATCTAGGAAAGAACTTGAGTGTGGTTAGTCTCACATGGACCTAAGTAGAAGCAAATAGAACAGAAACCTGTTGCATTAATTTTGTGTGTCAACTTGGCTAGGCCACAGTATGCAGATATTTGGTCAAACATTATTCTAGATGTTTCTGTGAAGGATTTTTTGTTTTTTGTTGTTGTTTTTTTTTAATGTGAGATTGACATTTAAGTCAGTAGACTTTGAGTAAAGCAGGTTATCTTCCATAAAGTGGGTGGGCCTCATCCAGTCAGTTGAAGGCCCTTATAGAAAAAAGACTGACTTCCCCCGAGAAAGAGGGAATTCTACCAGCAGATTGCTTTGGAACTCAAACTGCAACATCACCTCTTTCATGGGTTTCCAGCCACTGGCCTACTCTGCAGATTTTGGACTTGCCAGCCTCCACAATCATGAGCCAATTCCTTAAAATCTCTCTCTATAGATAGGTAGATAGATGAGATAGATAGGTAGATATCGAATGTTTCTCTGGAGAACTCTGTCTTATATGCCAAAATGTTTTGAGGTAATTATATTAAAAAACAAACAAACTATGAACCCAAACTAAAAAAGCCTTTGACTCCCTAAAATTCATGTGAAATCTCAAGGGACCCTGAATGCCAAAACAATTTTGAACAAGAATAAAGTTGGAGGTCTCACACTTCCTAATTTCAAAGCTTACTACAAAGCTATAGTAACCAAAACAGTGTGGTACTGGCATAAAGACAGACATATAAACCAATGGAATAGAATAGAAAGCCTATAAATAAACCCTTGAACATATGGTCAAATGATTATGACAAGGGCTCTAAGACCAATCAATGGGGAAAGGACAGTCTTTTCAACAAATGGTGCTGGAGAAACTAGATATTTACATGTATAAGAATGAAGTTAGACCTTTACATCACATATAAAAATTGACCTGGGCCAGCTGAGTGGCGCATTGGTTAGGAGTTGGCTTGGGACACCAGCTCTGAGCAGCAGGGCCCCGGTTCGGATCCCATATATGAGGGCCAGTGACACTGCGCCCTCTACAGCTAAGATGGTGAACAACAGCTTGACCTGGAGCTGGGCTGCTGTGAGTCGCTGGCGACGGCCTAGGCTGCAGTGGGGCTGGCCGGCTGCTGGCGTGGGCTTTCGTGAGCTGCTGTGAGCTGCCGTGTGCAGCCGTCCAATGGCCAGCGAGCGACTGCCTCACCTCTGGGAAGAGCGCAATGATCACAATACCAACATGGGCCAGTGAAGCGACGTCCTCCACAACTAGACTGAAGAACAAAAGGACAGCAACTTGTCTGTTCTCCTTCCCCGGTTCCCCAATGCTGTTCCCCTCCCCCAATTCCCCAATAAAATCTTTAAAGATAAATAAATAGGGCTGGCCAAGTGGAGCATTGGTTAAGAGCTGGCTTGGGAAGCCAACTGTGAGCAGCAGGGCCCCAGTTCAGATCCCACATTAGGGCCAGTGACGCTGCGCCCTCTACAGCTAAAATGGTGAACAACAGCTCGACCTGGAGCTGGGCTGCTGTGAGTCGCCAGCGACAGCGTAGGCTGCAGTGGGGCTGGCTGGCAGCAAGCGTGAGGTTTCGTGAGCTGCCGTGAGCGGCTGTGAGCGGTCATCCAGTGGCCGGCGACCAATCTGCCTCACCCGGGAAGAACACAATGATAATACCAACAAGGGCCAGTGAAGCGGCATCCTCCAAAACTAAACTGAAGAACAAAAGGACAGCAACTTGTCCGTTCCCCTTCCCCAATTCCCCAATGCTGTTCCCTCCCTCATTTCCCCAATAAAATCTAAAATAAATAAATAAATAAAAATAAAAAAATAAAAATTGACCCAAAATGGATAAACGATATAAGAATTAAAACTATGAAATTCTTACAAGAAAACATAGGGCAAAAGCTTCATGACATTGAATTTGACAATGATTTTTTTGCCTATGACACCAAAAGCACAGACAACAAGAGAAAACTCAATAAATCAGACTTCATCAAAATTTATATCTATAAAGCCGGCTGAATAGCTCAGTTGGTTAAGAGATCGCTCAAGAGTTTGAGCTCTGAGCAACAGCGGTTCAATTCCCGTCCCAAGCTGAGCAGCCGCTGAGCTGCCAACAGGTGGCAGAATGGCTCAGCTTAAAAAAAAAAATAGCACAACCATTGTGGAAAACAGTATGGCGGTTCCTCAAAAAATTAAACTTAGAATGACCATATGATCCAGCAATACATACTTGAGTATGTACCCAAAAGAAAGCAGGGACTTGAACAGATATTTGTACATCAACATTCATAGCAGCATTATTCATAATAGCCAAAAACGGGGAAGCCACCCAAGTAAGTGTCCATCAACAGATGAATGGATAAGCAAAATATGGTACATCCATACAGTGGACTATTATTCAGCTTTAAAATGAAATGAAATTTTGACACATGCTACATGGATGAACCTTGAAGACATTATGCTAAGTGAAATAATCCAGTTACAAAAGGACAAATATTATGTGATGCCACTTATATGAGGTACCTAGACTACTGATTCATAGAGACAGAGCGTAGAAAGACGGTTGCCAGGAGTTCAGGGAGGGGGAATGGGGAGTTACTATTAAATGGGTAGAGTTTCAGTTTGGGAAGATGAAAAAGTTCTGGAGATGGATAGTGGTGATTGTAGTGCAACATCGTGAACATACTTAATGCCACTGAGCTTTACACTTAAAAATTGTTAAAATGGTAAAAAATTTTTTTTAATTGGGGAATTGGGGGATAGGAACAGCGCTGGGGAATTGGGGGAAGGGGAACAGACAAGTTGCTGTCCTTTTGTTCTTCAGTCTAGTTGTGGAGGACGTTACTTCACTGGCCCAAGTTGGCACCATTATTGCGTTCTTCCTGGGCGAGGCAGATCAGTTGCTGGCTTCTGGACAGCCACTCACAGAGGCTGCTGGCCACTCATGCTGGCTGATGGCTACACAAGGTAGCCCATGGCAACCCACCGCAGCAGGGGCTGCAGCCTACGCCATCGCTGGCGACTCATGGCAGCCCAGCTCCAGGTTGAGCTGTTGTTCAGCATCTTAGCAGTAGAGGGCAGTATCACTGGCTCTCATATGTGGGATCCGAACTGGGGCCCTCTGGCATCCCAAGCCAGCTCTTAACCAAAGAGCCACTCGGCTGGCCCAAAATGGTAAATTTTATGTTATGTATATTCCCTCCCCAATAAACACACACAAGCTTTTTTTTTTTTTTTTTTTAAAGATTTTATTGGGGAGTTGGAGAAGGGGAACAGTGTTGGGGAATTGGGGAAGGGAAACAGCTAAGTTGTCCTTCATTCTTAGTTGTGGAGGGTGCAGCTAGCTCAGCTCCAAGTCCAGTTGTCATCCGGCTGCCTGGCGGCAGCTCAGGGCAGCTCAGCTCAAGATGCTGTGTTCAATCTTAGTTGCGGGTTGAACCGTCAACCTTGTTGTTAGGAGCATGCGCTCTCAGCAGCTGAGCCAGCTCAGTGGCAGCTCAGTTCGGGCACAGTTCGGGCACAGTTCAGGCACAGTTCACTGGCCCGTATGGGAAGCGAACCGACGACCCTGTTGCTCAGAGCTTGCGCTCTCAACCAACTGAGCTACTTGGCTGGGCCCCCCCCCCCACACACACACACAAGCTTTTGTCTGGCCAAGATTTAAAATAACTTTTAGGCTCCCAGGCTTGCACCAGCAGGGAGTGGGCTGTGAAAGCTACATATTCTCCAAGGAGGTCATACTCCCCAAGCCCATCTCAGATGTGGTCCTGGAGGATAATCGAGGAAGAAGTTCCCAGAGGTCAAAGCCAGGAGCCATGAAGAACAATGGACAAAAGAGTGCGGTTCTAGAACAAATCAGGATCTAATCAAGGAACTTCCTCCAGCCCCAGGGAAGAGGGCTTTGTTTGACCAGTGGATATTCAGAACTGCTTTGGACCAGTGACTGTCTGTTGCATATCTTCCATTCTTTCCTTTTCTGAATCAGAATTTGTATTGAGGCTACTCTATTCTGGCTCTACCATTGTAAATTTTTTGTGTTGGTGGGGTGCGATAAGTTGTTTTTCTTTAGTTCATAAATCACCATAAGGAACCATACTGGATGCTGATTGAGAGACTTGGAGCTGAAGATAGTGATTAGAAGGGGTTTGGGGTTATCCCCCTCGGGAAGGGGTGTGTTCTCTCTGTGAGAAGAGCAGAAACAGGTATTTGGCTTAGAAAGGCAGACTGAGACAGACTGTGACACACAAATATCTGTGTTTTCTTCTTTCTAAACACACAGCCAGATCTGACTTCCCAGTAGGGTTGCCAGATTTAGCAAATAAAAATACAGGATGCCCAGTTAAATTTGAATTTTGGATAAACAATGAAGAATTTCTTAGTGTAAGTATGTCCCATGCAATATTTGGAACATAATTATACTGAAAAAATATTTGTTGTTTACATGGAATTCCAATTGAACTGAGCCTTCCGTATTTTATCTGGCAGCCCTACTTCCCAGCCTCCCTTGAAGTTAGATGTGGCAATGTGACTGAGTTCCAGTCAATGGTACAAAAACGAAAGTGATGTGATCTCTTCCAGGCCTGGCCCCTTAAAGCCTGTCTGAAAACAGAGGACTCTGACCATCTAGAGGAAGACATAGTCACAACATGGTAGAAGCCTGGGTCCCAAGTGAGTGGATGGCACAGGCCTCCCTCCCCAAACCTGCACTAAACTACAATGCAAACAAGAAACTTTTATTATTAAACCACTGAGTCTTGCTTGTTTGTTTTTTAAGATTTTATTGGGGAATTGGGGAAGGGGAACAGCCAAGTTGTTGTCCTTCAATCTTAGTTGTGGAGGGCACAGCTAGCTCAGCTCCAAGTCCAGTTGCCATCTGGCTGCCCGTTGGCAGCTTGAGGCCGCTCAGCTCAAGATGTCATATTCAATCTTAGTTGTGAGTGGGCATAGCCCACCATCCCACGTGGGAGTCAAACTGGCAACCTTGTTGTTAGGCGCACGTGCTCTCACCAGCTGAGCCATCCTGCCACGTGTTGGCAGCTCAGTTCAGGTGCAGCTCACTGGCCCATGTGGGAATCGAACCAGCGATCCTGTTGCTCGGAGCTCTAGCTCTTAACCAACTGAGTCACTTAGCCGGCTCTAAACCACTGAGTTTTGGGAGTTGTTTTAGAAGCTAGCCTCCTTTTCTCATCCTTTCCTTAACCTTAACAGTGTATGACTCTGGTAACCATTTATTTCTTCTTGAAACTTTCTCTTCTCTCAATATTATTTGTTTCTGGCCTTTGAAAGATAATGATGATGAGAACAATAATAATAACAACAACAATACAAATAGCCACCATTCATGAAGTTCTTTCCACATGTCAGATACTGTGCTGGTGCTCTATCTAGTGTCTCATTTAATCCTCATAACTACTCTGCGGTAGGTGCTATCACCTCCATTTTAGAGATGAGAAAACAGATTTAGAGAAGTTGAGTTACTTGCCCAAGGTCTTGCAGGCTCTCCTTTCCTTTTGACAATTCCATTCAATCTCATGGCTGCTGTCATTATCATGTCTGGGTGGATGGTTCCTTGACCCCTCTCCTTGTCTCCAGTTGTACATTTCCTGACATATGAATCTGCTGATGGAATTCAACATGTCCAAGATGCAGGCATTCCTTTCTTAGTACTGTTCTAAACGCTTTTCATTTAATTCCCACAAGAAGCCCATGAGATATCTAATGCTATTATTCACATCCACGAGCTAGATAGTGTTATCCACATTTTACAGATGAGTAAACTGAGACTTAGAGATTCAGTATCTGGCTCATGTTTACACAGCTAGTACACAGTAGAGCTGGGCTTGAGGCTGATTTCAAGGCCTAGATCTCAATAATGACAATACCTCACTTCTTTGCAAACTGAGCCTCCCTGTCCAGTTCTATTTTTTACTTCCTATACTCATTCTCTACTCTTAGCTTTCAAATCCTACCTGTCCTTCAAAGGCCATTTCTCTATGGAGTCTTTTCAGGTATTCCAAGTTGGAAGAGATCTCCAACTTGTGTGAATTTACACAGTACTTACTCGGTACCTCACTTACCTTTTTCTAAGCACAGGAGTAAAATTTGAATTCATCATCATAAAAAGTTCAAGTAGGGAGATATAGAGCAAGACATTTAAGTATCATTTTATTCCTCAGAAATGATCAGTTTCTATCTTGATTAATGTTTCTGTGTATCTGCCAGCAACTGTATGAGACAGTTTTTTGAGGATGGGAAGCATAGCGAATCATCTTTATTGCCCTGAAATAGGAATTAATAAACAATTGCTGAAAGACTCAATCAACTTCAAATCCCTTGACCCTGCACAAGCTACATTTTTAGATGAAGGTGAGAGGGTCTGTTCAAGAAAAGGAGTGATCCCCCCCCCCACCACCAGAGGACTGGTAAAGACATGTCAAACACTCCCTCCCCACCCACCTTCATTAAAGAACAAAAAAGCATCTACTTCTAGGTACATGAAGTGTCTGGTTTCTGTTTTAGCTGGGTCTCAGAAGGAAATGACTTTTCTCTGAAATTGTAGACGCCCAACCCAGCTGCAGCATTGTTAGACCTCAGGGTAAACAGGAAGCTTCCTGCCTTGGGCCCTTCATGTCCCTCTCCGAGACTATTAAAGACTGTTAATAGGATGGTAAAAGGACAGCTGCTGGCCATAAAATCAGCCCATTCCTTAGATCCTTAGAGAACAGCAACTAGATCCCTCCAAGGTCAGAGAGAAAACTGCTTCGCCAGGTCACACCAGGTGCGTCCACTTAGCTGGGGTCCTGTTATCTCACCTATGATCGACTGGCATAATGGTCTTTGCTAAATACCAGAGTGATTTAGTTCCTTGGTATTAGTTGAGAAAATAGGATTCCCATTTATAGGGTCTCTGGTCCTTGAAATCACTTGTTTCTGGGTGTGATGAGATCTAGTGTGAAGGTTAAGCGGAGACTGCCAGAGCAGAGAAATCACTCCTTACCCTGTGGAGTTTGAGTCACTTCTTCAGTAGGGGAAAAAAAAAATCAGTCCTGATTATCCCCCAAGAAGAGGTAAAGAAGGGGAATCCATGAGGACACAGGCTCTAGTGCTCCTGCCTCTGCAATGAAGAGCTGAAACAGGACCTCAGCTCTGCCTGCACACAGGGTGGAAGTCCCTGGATTTGCAGCTGTTGGTGAGGAGGGAGGGAACCATTTCTGCCAACTGGAGGGACACGAGGGCAGGGATGATCATCTTTTGCCAAGAAGGGCACTCGGGTGTCTTGGCAGAAGGCAGAGGGCTGCCCCAATCTGTGTGTACATTTTCAGAAGCATTTGACTCTGGACCAAATTCTCTCAGCTGTGCTAAAGCTGGGGCAATGGATGGGAAATGCTTATTGGCCAGGCTGACTAGAACCTCCAACAGAGGGTGCTGGGACTCAGCCAGCAGCTTCCCTTCAGCTGGCAAGTTTCACGGTCTGTCATGGTCAGAGGGAGCGTGTCAAAATTCCAATTCTCAGGGCTCTCCAGAAGCTGCTGTTGATTAACCATTTATTCGGAAGTTTCTGCTTGTTGGAATTTTTCACTCAAATGGGGAATGAGTGGGGATGACGCAGCTTCTTACCTGGCTCAAAGAATGAGCGAAAAATAGCTCAGTAGGGATCAACGATCTTACTACTGTTGAAATGATGGGCTCATAACCAAAAGGGGGCCAGGCAGATGCCATTTCATTCAACTTTGGATTTACCGACAATTTATCAATTCATGCTGCCATGCTGGCTCTTCTGGCCCATGTCTACCAAGCAAGCAAGCACAGGCACTTGGGGATGGCAGGAAAACCAGTCAACACTTTGACCATGTAGTTGCCGGCACAGGTTTCCTTATGCAGTACAAGGAGCCTTATTTGCCAAATGTCACTGCTTTCCCTCATTCAAAGGAAAGGTCGCTTAAGTTACTCCTCAGAGTTGCACCCGGAGAAGGGAAGAGTTTTTTTCTAAGTTCTGAAAGCAAGAGAACTGAATATTTTCTCCTAAAATCACATAGTTGAGCCTCTACATAAATGTTTAGACTGGGATGATTCCATTGTTTAAGGCAGCTCTTAAGATCTTAGAGCAGAAAAGGGATCCACCTACAAGACATGATATGGTTTCCCCACTAACTGCCTTAATGGGATAATATAATTTCCCCCAATTTCAGAAGAGGTAACTAAGGCTCTGAAAACTCCCAAGGTCACAGAGCTGGAAAGTGGGTTTTACTGAGAGGACTAGAGTCCAGGTCTCCCGCCAGCTTGTGCAATGCTCTTGTACTGTCACTTTTCCCCAGGTAATTTGTATTATTTTTAAAAAGGTAACTGATTGCACGTATAACTGAAAGTTGTTTTATTTGCATATCTTTGTAAGATTTTTCATGTAAATAAATGAATCATGAAAAAAAAATCAGAAACAATGTCCCATTTAGAAAAGAAGGTCCCACTTTACTTACTACTGCCACTACATTGTGCAGGCCTCCATCGTCATGAGTGAACTATATTGCCAGCTAGCATCTTCAATGAAATTTACATGTGGGTCTGTGGTAAGTGTATGACTAACTCTGCTGAGGTTGGTTGATGAGCTAGATCCAGGTATACTTTAGATGTGGAATAAGATTTCATCACTTACTGCAAAAACAGTTACTACTCTAAAATGTTCCATGGCCAGGACCAGAGGGGCTCTCTGGTGGCTCACACTGCTCCCATTCCTATCCAATCTTCAAATAGAGAGACAGAGGTTCTAATGGACAAAGTAGGGATCCCAAGGCAGCGCAGGCAGTCCCAGTGTGTACTTGTACTTTCAGATCCCTGGTTCAGTCAACTTCAAGTCTGTCCCCTGAGACTCCAGGTCATGTCCAAGGCAGGAAGTTGCAATGTAGAAGTAGTCCCAGTAGCCAGTAAGTCAGGAAGTAGCCTAGAATGCATTGTGTGACTAGAGAACAGGTTTTCCAGTTGTACAAAAGTCCCATGATAGGATTTCTTGGGACCTTTTGTCCTGAGGGGGAGTCCCCTGCAAGAGGCTTCCAAGGCACAGTCTCTAGGGATCTCAGCAGTGGCTCTTGATCCTGGAGCAAATGAGCTGGAAACCAGTACACAATAGGAGTAGAGGAGCCCAAAAACCTGGTAAGAACCTGGAAATCATAAGAGGGGAAAACCCACACATTTATTGGCATGTCACTGCCTCAAATTGGACAGCTGGTGCTTCCCTGCTGCTGGGTGAACTGTAACCCCATGACTAGAAATGTATTACATTGGAAATGAAATTTAGTAGAGTTTAAGATCTGCCTTATAAAGATATATGTGACATCAACCAGGTGACCTCAATATTACAAGTAAACATAGCTACAAACTAATAACCACACTAATGGGCCAATCAATACAAAAAACCCTATGGGGTCCAATTTTAGCCCAGGGCCTGGACTCTAAATTCTAGGCTGTGATGTGGGGCTTTGGGAGCCTGAGGCAGTTCTCTCATCCCATGGGGATGGCAGAGAAAAAGGGATGCAGAGGATACTATGGGTCAACATTTTCCCTCTTAGGGGAGTTCAGAGCCAAGTCTCCTTCATCTAACTAGGAAACTCGAAGCTTTCCTGGCATTCCCTCTACTAGCTAATCCAGCTAAAACACAGAATGCTACTTTCGATTTCCCCTGTGCTTCTTACTCACACAGCTCCGAGAATTTTACAAATAGCCAGCCAATGTGTGCCTCCAAGAGGCAGAAGCTGCTAAGAAGTGGCCAGCATGGAGACAAAAAGGCTTCCTCGGGGTTATGTTCAAGCTAGGGCCACAGCCAGGAGCAAAAACAATCGAGTGTATGAGTAAACCCTTCCCATCCCTCTCTATCCCCACCACCGCCCTGAACATTGCACAAAGTATCTCCTCTGAAAACTGAGCACCTGCCAGAGCTGAGTACCTCAGAAGGTCAACATTCAAGTTGACATTCTGGGAATAACTGAGTATTAGGGGAAGGTCCTTTGCGCTTATTCCTGTATCTCAGTCAAATCAGGTCCTTTCACAACTCTTATGTCTTTGCACGTGCCTTTCCATTGACCCAGAATGTTTTTCCTTTGCTTCTTAAAGGGAATTCCTTCGTACTGTTCAGGACCCCGCCTACATATGACGCCCTCCTCAACTCCCTCAGTCAGTGAGCTACTTCTCCCACTGTGCTTCCACAATACTTTGTCTCAAAACAGCAACTCCTCTTCCATTCCACTGTACTATAGCTTTATCTGTTAAATATTTGTCTCCCCATTTCTACCTTGAGACCCACCAGGGCAGCAATCTTATCTTATTCGTGTTCCATCCTCAGTGGTCTAACCCAGGATCTGACACAAAAAAAGCCCCCAAGTAGTGAATGAATATTGAATGAATAAATTAGGTACAGGTCACTCAGAGGGGAGAAGTTCATTGTCCTCCTTGTCCCTGGCCCAGGGCGTTTGCCTGTACTCGCACCCTTTTGCCAGCCAGGAATCCACCCACCTCACCTGAACATGCATGCACAGGCCACCGAACAGCAGCAGTCCCGCAGCGTGGACCAGGTATACAAACACCCGAGGGCTGAGAAATCCGGGCTCAGGCTTCTCTTGGGTCTCACTGTTCTTGCTCCTTTGCATCCCAAGTGTAAGGCAGAGCCAAGGGTGGGTGGTCACATACGTCCAAGTTGCCCAGACAACCAGTATAGCCACTGGTGCAGCCAGCAGAAAATTGGGCACCTGCTTGAGTTCATAGTATCTCAAAAAGCCAACATTCCAGTAGATATCCTGGATATAGCTGTATACTAGGGGAAGTTGCCAGGAGCACCAAGGAGGCTCGTTTCCTTCGGCGATCCGGTAGCCCTTGTCCACAGCTAACTGCAGCAAGGGCTTAGGGATGGGGTGGGCTGAGCCTGGTAGACAGAACTGCGTATAGGCATAATACTGAAAGAGGGCAAAGGGAAGGCCAAGGGCGAGCACGGACAGAAACACAGAGCCCATCAGCTTCAGGAGCGGTCTCAGAGGACTCAGCACCATGAGAGAAGAGAAAAAGCCTTGGCACTGAGAATGCACGAGGAAGCCAACATTGACCAGCCCGTTGGAGCGTACGCCAGTGGCAAGGGCAAAGAGGAGTCCACTAGTCCAGCTTCGGTGCCTTTCCAGCTGCCCCATGGCGCTGAACGTCAGGAGGGCAAACAAAGCTTCTGAGTAGCCAGCGGCCAGGAAGACATTGGCAGGGCTGAGGCAGAAGAGCAGTGCTCCGTAAAAAGCCTGGCGGGGACAGTGCAAAACCAGACAGCCCAGGTCATGAAGTGCAACGGCAGCCAAGACAGAGAACAAGGAATTGAACAATGCTACTGAGATTAGCAGGCAACTCCGCAGGCTCAGTAACCCCCACAGGGGTCTCAGCAGTTCTGTTCCCACCCACAGGGCCAGAGGGAAACCGGGGAAGAAGGCAAAGTTGTGCTCATACACATAGCCATGCTCGGCAATGAAGAGGAAGTGTTCGGCATCCCAGTGTGACAGGCCACTCAGGAGACCTTCCACCAGTTGGTCCACAGAGCCCGAGGGGGCGAGGCGAGGAGGAGAGAAGGCTTCTGCATGGTGATCTGGGATGATGGCATTGAAGAGAGCCTGGGGGATGAAGGAGAACCAGGATTTTGGCTGAGCAACTGAAAGAAAAGAATTACCACTTAATAAAATGAGGAAGAACAGACTTGTTGGGAGAAATCAGGAGTTCAGTTTTGGATTAGTTAAGTTTGAGTTGGACACTCCACTGCAGAGGTCAACAAGGCAGTGAGAGATACCGATCTGAAAGTCAGGAGAGCAATCAGGGCTGGAAATATAAATTTGGGAGTCATAACTACCTGGGTGGTATTTAAAGGTATGATACAATGAGTACTAGCGAGGAAGTACAGATAAAGAGGAGATGTGAGGACTGGGCCCTGGACACGTCAACATTTAGAGACTCAAAAGAGGGTGAGGATCCAGCAGTGAAGATAAAGAAGGAATGGTCAGTGAGCTAGGAGGAAAACCAGGAGACCATGGTATCTTAGAACCAAGTGAAGCAAGGGAGTAGTCAGCTCTGTCAAATGCTGTTGACAGGTCGAGTGAGATGGGGACCGAAAACTCACCACTAGATTTAGCAATGTGAAGGTCACTGGTGACTTTGAAAAGAGGTATTTCACTGGAGTGGGAGAGTAGGAGAGTGGGAGGGAGAGAGAGAGAGAAAGAGAAAGAGAGAAAGAGAGACAGAGAGACAGAGAGAGAGAGAGAGAGAGGGAGAGAGAGAGGGAGAGAGAGAGAAAGAGGAAGGTTGCCTGGACTGGGTTCAATAGCGAAAGGAGATAGTACATAGAGACAACTATTTGGAGGAGGTTGGCTCTAGAGAGCAGAGAAATGGGGTAGTAGATGAATGACAACGTGGGGTCAAGAGAAATCTATTTTTTTTGTAAGGTGGGAGCTCAGTATTTGTTTGCCAATGGGAATAATCCAGTGGAAAGGAAACCACTGAGTATGCAGGGGAGAGAGGGGAGAACTGCTGGAGCATGCAACAGGGGATGGAACCTGCTGCACAGGTGAAGGAGCCGGCCTTAGAGAGGAGGGCACAGTTCACCCAACCTTCCGTAGTGCAGGCACAGAGGTGAAGATGCAGGTACGCTGATGGATATGGATGTGGTGGGAGCATACGGAAGGTCACTTCTGATTGCTTCTATGAGTTTTCACTCAGGAAAGCAATTTGGGGAAAAGGTGTTAGAGACTTGAGCAAAGAGGAACACATGTAAATAAGTCATTTATGACCCTAGTTCTCAAAATAGGCTGTGCACTGGAATTACCCAGGGAGTTTAAAAATACTGATGCTTGGGTCTCTCCTCTAGAGTTAATGATTTAACTGGTATGGGGTACAGCCTGAGCACTGATTTATTTTTTAAGCTCCCTTAGGTGATTCTGATGTGCAGAAAAATTTGAGAGAATGGCAGGGGGATGAATGGACCAGGGAAATAGACTAAGATTGCCAGGTAGCACTAAGGACTCACTTGGGTTAATGATCTTGAATAAAAAAGAAATTAGTTAATACAGTTGTGTATAATCTCTGGACAGAAGAAGGCATGGGACAGGCAGAGAACTGAATTTAACCAAGGTTGGGCTTCTGTCTCGTGAATAAGAAATAGGGAGAAGGGAGCAAGCAAGCTGTACAGGTATGCACGATGGACAATTCAATCTAAGCTGGGTAAGAAGCAGAGCTGAAGCCATGAGGTATGTCAGGGACAATGAAATGGTGGTAGAATCAATGGATTATAGATCCTGAGGGGTTAGAAGAATGGTTAGAACTGGGGTACTAGAGGGAATGAGCTGGAAAGATAGGAGATAGTGGTCAGGTGTATCAGCTTTGTTAATATTCAAACCATCGAGAAATCAACAATTGTGCTGAAAAGAGTAACAGTGAATCAGGAGCTAAAACCTTCAAGGAATGAGCTGTCATTAACAGAGATGACAGCAACAGTGAAGGGTAACTGGCAATATATTCTGATGGTAGGAGCTTTACAGATGGAACGAGGAGGTTGGATAATGAAATAGCATTATTGTTAAATGTCTTTCTGCCCCATTAGATTGTCAGCTATTTAAGGGAAAAGAAAACCATGACTGTTTATACTCCCGACCTAGCACAATTCCTGGAACTGAATAGGTACTTGAAAAAAATGTGGTGGTTGAGCGAACAGTCTAGCAGAAACATCCTCATTTCCAAATCACCATCTGAATTAGAACCCAGCTGTCCCAGTTCCCCATCCAGATGCCGATTCACAGTATTGCCCCTTTGGTTCTGCCAATCACTAAGCTGATGCTGGTTCAAAGCTATCATCCAGTTAAGTTTCTCCAGCCTGGCAGCAGGAGTATAACCCCATTTTTAAGTATCTGTCTCTTTTTGGTCTTTTTTTTGCGGTGTGTGTGTGGGATCAGACCACTTCAAACAGTGAAAACAAATGGGACAGGAGTGACAGTTACAGGTAACAGCCCTAGTCTCCAAGTTGAAGACACTTTTAACTAAACCTGGGACACAACAGAGCCTGCTATGTCTCCTATAGTGGGGGAGGAGAGAGGAAAGGAGGTTTCCACAAAGAAACCAGCTATAAGCCTCAGAGAGAATGGAGCTTGTGATAAAAGGCACAAATAATTATGCAAATACAGGTATAACATACTAAGGGTGTTGCCTACACTAAACAATAACACATACTGAAGACCTACTACATACTGGAAACTGTGCTCGGCACTGCATACAATTTACATACATATGAGTATACTAAATTTGATTAAAATATGTGTAAGGGCAGTTTCTGGTTACAGAACCTCACGGTCTGTTGGAAAGACCGCTAATGCAGGAGTTAGAAAACCTGGGGTCTGACTCTGACCCTTCTCTAACTTGCTATGTGACTTTAAGAAAGCCATTTAATCTTCCCCGGCCTCTGCTGCTTCATGTGTAAAACAAGGGATTAACAGACCACTTCTAAGAGTCCTGCCAAATTTTCAGCTAAGAAGTCTAGGTGTCTAGGGTTCCAACCACACGGAGGGGCACACCTGGTTGGTGGAAAGAAGATGGGAACTCTTCTTAGTGCCTAGCCCAGTCATGTGGCAACGGCATGTTCAGGACTAAAGATCAGAGACTGACCTGCAGCATCAGAGTCAGGACACGGCAGCTGACCGCAAATCTCAGCACCTCTTTCCGGGATGGGTCCAGGGGCCACATCCTCTCACCACCAGGAATACAGGGTGTTGCTGCCAGGACTGAGCTCCTTCAGGCTTCTAAACTCCAAAACCCAAAGAGGAAATGTCACACATGGGCTGAAAGGACATTCTTGAAAGCATTCTTCACAGGAAGACTTCCCCTTCAGCATTACTTGGCAAACTTAACCACCTAACTTCCCAGATGAGGGAAAGGCATCTTGAAGGCAGATGTCACTTGGTGTCACTCTGAAGCACTGTATTGTTGGGAAGGTTCCACACAGATAGGCATGAAACTGGGAAGCAAAACTCACATCTTTTAAAAGCCGGTTGAGTCCCCCTATGCAAGCACTAAAGACCTGGGTTCAAGTCCTAGCTCTGTCACTCACAAGTTCTCATTTAGTCCTTCTGAGCCTCACTTCTTTATGTATAAAATGGGATCAGATTATTTTGCCTGTCTCGCAAACTTGTCATGATGATGAAGTGAACGAAAGCGTGAAGAAGTACTACCACATCTATATTGTGGTTGCTATTATTTGGTGTGCGCCCCTTTCCTCCTGCCCAGAATAATAAACTAGGTCCCAAAACCAGAGTCCCAAAAATGGGGCACAGGGCTGAACTAGAAGACCATAATGACTACACACTCCAGCTTAGCTCTCCGATGTGTGTTCAGCTGGTCTGTTAAACTAAGTGGAGAAGGAAAAGAAAACCACCACTCGGCAGGACTTCAGCCAGCTCACACTGCTAAAACAAACTTAGGGGGAAGGCAGAGTCAACTACTAGGGGTGGAGAAAACTTATTTCCCATCTCTTTGTTGGAAATGGCAGCAACGTATAAACAAATGCAAAGCTGTTCTGAGGCAAGGAATGCATTTTAAGGCATTTAAAAAAAAAAACAATTCCTTGGGCTAAAAGAAGCAGCAATGGCTCCTACAGAACCAGTCTGGGAAATCAGAAGGGAGGGCAAGAGCATCAGAGGCAGCTCACCAAGTTGGGCTGAAGAACTATCCCTAAAGGAAAAAATACTTAAACTGAGACATTAACAGGGCAGGCTAGAAGACTTTTCTTTCTTCTCTTATCTGGCTAATACCTACCAAACCTTTAGGTATCACTTCTTTCTGGAATTCTTCTCTGACCCTCACTAGACTATGTGATATGTTCTCATTGCACTCTGCCGTCTGGTCTTTGTTGTTATTGCTTAATTAAGTTGCTTGTGAGGGCGGGGGCTTTGTCTATCTTGGTCACAACTATATCCCCAGGGCCTAGCATACAAGCAGGCATTTTAAGTCTGTGTTCTGATAGAGTGGAAGTGGCAAGAACAGACTATGGCATCACCAGTTCATTGGCTCTGGATATAAAATCACTGCTCCAAGTATTCTTCCCACCATACTCATGTTAAGAGCAAGACTACAAAGTCACAGAAGCCATAGGAAAATAAAATTTCTCCAGAAAGGGCGCAAGATCGGCCAATAGCAACAGTACTTATCCTCAGCACAAGGGGGCGCCTGATGCTTACTTCATCACCAGGAAGCCTGGAGGAAGGGAGGGGCCACCAACGCCACACCGGTTGGCTCATCAAAATTCAGTTCAAAGGCAAGCTTCTGAAAACCCGAGAGCGGAGACAGTTTGTGAATCTAACCCAACATTTCTAACATCTGACTCGAAGAGAAAAGAATCGTAGAAAGAGGCGCAGCTACCCTTACACGGCCGCTGGTTTTCTATCCTAGGGTGAATTCACTTTTTCCCTTCTTCACTTCCCACCCACATGCAGACGAGAAGTTGGGAATAGAAAAACAACCCACCTCTGCCTCTTCACCAGGCTGCCATTCTTCCTTTCCTTTCTCCAGAGTCAAGCTCTAGCCCCAGCGACCACAGGAGACTTGTAGCCTACACTTAGTTTACAGGTAAACCAAGTAAAAACAAAATAAAGCCAGTGAGTTCTCCCTCTCAGCTAATTGCCAGCCTCACTTCCCAACAACCCGTTTGTCAAATCACAGACTCTTAACTGGCAGGACACTTAGACAGCAAGTAGTTTCACTTTATTTTCTCGTGAGATAAATATGCCCCAGAGAGGTGAGTAATAAAAATCTCCATAGCTTTTACATTAGAGATCTCATTAGACCCTGTGAGGTCTGCATAATTACCATCGCCATTTTATGGATGTGGAAACTGAGGCTCACTGGGGTCAAGTGACACACCCAAGGCTATAGTTAAAGAGGTTTTTTTACTTTTTTATTCTGAAGCCTCATGGTCTTCCCACCAGGCCTCACCCTGGCCAGGTGGATGTGCTCTTTCTGAGCCAGGGTATGGCAGGGAGGGCCCTCTCTGAAAATACAGGGAAGTCGGCTGAATTGGAGCCCTGGACCGTCTGGGTAAGACTAACATCCTCTGTGGGGTGGGGGAATCGCTCTGACCAAGGGCCCTCAGGGCCAGAGGCCTCGCGGGCTGTCGCGAGCCAGAGGCCGCCTTCTGCCAGCCCAGCAGTCTAAAGCCCATTCTAGCCCGCTTCTTTCGGACACAGTGCCAAGCGGGGATCGGGCATCTCCTCTCCCCAAATGGGCCACCGCCCAACGGTTATTCCCAAGGGGGCCGGCGGGGCCGAGCCGGGCCCTGCTGCAGGGCCGGAAGACAGGGGAGGGCGAGAGGCTGTAAAGGAAGAGGCGGCACCCAGCGGACGCAATGGCGGAGGGGCGGGGTTCTCCGCTTCTCGGCAGCCTCTGCCTCTTTTCCCTCAGCTCCCGTTCGACAACTTCCCTCCCCCAAGAACTCCAGGGCCCCCACGCTGGCGCCTGGTCCCCAGCGCCGGCCCGTCTCGACCTCCCAGGCCGGGTTCGAACCTCCGCTCTTCAATCCGGGACCTCGAGGGCCCGCGCCTGCGCACTGGCTCCGCCGACGGCGTCCCCGCCCCTCTCCTGCCCGGACTCGGAGCTGCCCCCGCCCCCTCCGCGACGGCCATGTTGACTCCCGGCGAGTGGGGCGGGGAGGGCCGAGTCTTAGGACTCCGCGCCCCTCCGCCTTGGCACCTTCACGCCTAGATGACACCTGAAGAGTTCTCTCACATACTGCACGCTCCTCAAGCCCACATCCCCACCTTCAGTTAGTCCCCCAGGGCTGCTGTCTCAGTCGGTGTTCTTGCCCCAGTTCCGTCCCTGAAACATCCACTGGGTTTTCGATGTGAGCCAAACCTCTCAGAGTTGGGGGGCTGCCCCGTGGCCTCTTCACAGAAGCCAGAGCCGCACTCTCCCTGCTGTCAGGCAACAACAGCTCACTCAGCACAGGGCCTGGCACACAATAGATGTTCTCTGAATAGAAAAGAAAAGCCTTCTTGGGGTTTCTGTGGCCAGCAGCGGCACCCTGCGTCCTGGGTGTGAAGAAAGTGGGGGATCCCCCTGACTTTTCCCTCCTCCCGCTACCAGGGACCTTCTGTCCTGCTTCAATCCTCAACGCCACCTCAGGTGGCTAATGAGGTTGGTGAAGGAAACTTCTGAGAACACCCCCCAGGACTCCTTTCTCCTTCCTCATTCAAGTAGTTTCTCTCGTAGGAAGTGGGGCCAAAAAAAGAAGAAGAAAAAAAAGAAGCTAACTCAACAAAACCGTCTGTTAGGGAGGAGCGGCCAGTTGGTACCCCTGTAACGGAAACTGTTAGAACAACTTTGCACCCTCCTTAAAGGAAATAGATAATAAATCCTTCTCCGTTGGTGGATTTCTTGTTTCTCAGGATTCAAAAGCCTTCTGTGGTTTCAGTTATCTGTCTTCCATGCGATGCTAGCTAGGGTCTGGGTTAGCCTCTGGCCACAGCCCTGGCTGAGGGAGGGGTTTATCTAGGGCAACAGCCACTCCTGGGTGGGAACAAAGAGATGGTTGCTATCTCTCAGGCAAGGGAACAAGCCCAGATCAGTTCTGTGGGGGCCAGGGACTGTATCTTTTGATTCTTTATAATTCATTTAAGGCCTTGAGACCTAAACTGCCCTCAGGTATTTGTTGTGTGTAAGGTGGATAAAGTATAGATCACATTTTAGTCCTGCAATGGAGAAGAAGGGGGAAAATGGAGTTTAGAAGACTCTTCCCTCCAGGTTTTTCAGTGACACACACTTGTTCTGAGCTCCAGAGGCCTGTAAGTAAATCGGCAAAGCTCTGGGGGCACACTCATGACTAGGGCCTAAGGTTGTGGCTTGAGCCTCTAGAAGTCCGTGAGGCTCCCAGCAGCACTCTGTTTGCAAAGACAAACCTGAGAGATGAACTGTCCTTGGTTTGCGAACACGCAGGGGAAAAAGACATGCATTCTTAAGGTTCTCTCTGTCCACACCAAATTCCTTCAAAAATCTAGTTGTAAAAAGGACAGGGGGTCTCTTGTGACAAGACAGAATATTTTCTGAAAGCTCAACTGTCACCCTTTAGAGGTAGAACTTCGTCCAGATCTTCAGCTCTACTTTCCTGCAATTTCTCCTTCCTTTCCTTCTCTGCTACCCACCCCCCTCCTCTTCCGCTCTGTTTCCTGTTTCATTTTTCTGGCTCTTGCTCCAACAGGAAAACAAGGACGCTGAATCTTGCGTTCTCAAAGCCCTGGCTTGTCAGAATGGAAGAAGACTATGTAGGATGGGAGGGAGCTCTGGGCCTCCAAGGCTGTGAGTAAGTAGTGGAGGAGGCAGCTCTCTCCAGTCTGCTTTTAGAATCAGCAGTTAAAATGGAGCCTGCATCTACACACGGAGCCAGCTCAGCGACCAGCACTGTGGGAGAGCCAGGGAGAAAGAGACGCATCCCAGGGCACCAGAAAGACCCTACACCACCCAGCCAGTTCCATGAAGAAACAAATATCCCACACCACCAAGAAACAATTTCATAATACAAATCCCTGACCTAAACAATGCCAGCAATGCATCACTATTTCTAGAATCCTAGAATGTAAGAGTTACATTTCTGTTTCTTGAACTTGCCTGGCTCTTCTCTTGCTGTTACCCCTGCTTGAAACACATCCCTGCCAGACCACCCTTTGGCCACCCCACTGGGTTAGGATTTCAGCTGAATGTCACTTCCTCAGAGAGGCTTTTCTCTAAACAGCTACCACCACCATCTTTGTGGTGATATAGATATCACCTTGTTCTGTTTTCTTCATAGCACTTATCACCCCCTGGTTGTCCTGTCCATGAATTTTACTTGTTTCATCCTCTGGTTTCCTCTTATGGAATGTAAACACCATGAGAGTGGGGGCCTTGTTCAAAGTATTACTAGCACTTAGAACAGTGCTTTGCATATTGTATGTGCTCCATAAAGATCTGGTGAATAAATCAATTTGTTTAATCTGATCCTTATATTTTATGGATGAGGGAACTAAGACTCAGAAAAAGGAAATGACTGACCTGAAGTTACACAGCTAGTGGCAGAGGTGGGACTTGAATTCAGGTCTCCAGCCTTCTAGGTTGTTTTTTTCTACCAATAGCATGTTTTTTTCCATACTATTTTTTCTCAGGTTTACCTCTTTCCCTCTTTTCTGTTTTTTTCACACAATGAAGTCTTTACAGACTATGCTAAGAATACTACACAGGGCATACCATGTCCTACCTGTTATTTCTTCCACTAAATTCCTATCTTACTTGTTTGATTTATTCAACAAAATAGGAATGTCTACTATGTGACGGGATGAGGATGTAATACTGAGCAAGATAGACACAGGCCTTGTCCTCATGGAGATAATGTTTACCTCGTGGATTTTGTAGTAGTTGTTGTCATAAAGTGCTCAGTAAGGGAGGGCTGTTATAACTCCCTGAATGAAAAAGGGAGCGAGTGATTTCCCCACTGCAGGGAAGGAAGTCTGGTGGTTCTCTGGAGCAACTTGACAAGTTATTTCTCTATGTAGCTGCCTTGCCTTACTCCAGCCGCCACATCTGGAAATGGCCTTGGCCCCGGACTGGGCAGAGGAACACACCAGTATACCTATTCTCAGTAGCTCAGTTTCTAGACACTAAACTTTCCATGACCCCAAACCTATGGGAATGTTGGAGAAGCTGACCCTGATCTGGAATGTTGACTTTGAGGCCATGCGATTGTGGGATAAAAGCGAACAACACATAAGCTTCTGATACTTGTCACTGTCAACCATCAGTAGGCAGAGTTAATGCCTGTGATGACAGGCAGCTAGCTGTGCCTTACCAGAACTTTATGCTGCTTTTTTTCACTGTGGATAAAAGGCATTCATTGGCAGTTTCCAAGGATGCTGGGTGATATTTACATCCATCCTGAAACTTGGGGTGGCACCAATCAGGTCTTGGACATTTACCAAAAGCCTATGTTTTGGGCCTCTGCCGAATCAAATGAAGATGCCCATCCCCCACAAGACAAAGACCCTGCCCTATCTCCTAAATTGCAGGACTCAAACGCTGATCCTTTAAAGCCATGGACTCTAGATATTTTTCACTGTTTCTTTGGTGTTTGCCTTTCAGTAGTTAGAAAACCTTGACCTCACTGAGAGGCCTAGTGGGAAGGGCCTTAACCACTGTGGGTGGCAGTGGCTGCAAGGCAAAAGAGCCAATGAGGCTGAGTGTATTGTTTAGGCCAGACTTGGCTGCTCTCCAGCTATGAAAGAAGGTTAAGGTCATTTGGGGGGTGGGGAAGGAGGAGCCTGGGAAAAGAGCTGCTGGCCACACCCCTGGGTTCTCTACTGGCAAGGTTCTATTTACTTCTCAAAAGCAAATTACTCACAGCTCAGTGGCTTGGGCCAGTGGTAACTCCAATCAGAAACTGGAGACCAGGCTAGGCTCCTTCTGCATTGCAGGAGAGCAGATGAAAGGAACCCAGGAAACCAAACTCCTAGGTAATGCTACACACACAGCCCAGAAATGCACTTTCTACCCTAGAAAGTGAAGTTCAAGAGACCCAAAATAAAAATATCCATTAGGAACGTTGCTCATCAAAATACATATATGAAAAGCTTCCCATTTAGTTTTTTTCCAGACGTGATGTAGGATGGCAGCTTGGTTGATAACAGCCAACTGTCTCCATTTTCTCCTCTCTCAAAAGAGAATACTAATTATTCATTCCTATCCCTGACCCAAATATTAACAACCACACCTCGTTTGATGAACACTTGATTGAAATTCTTGGGACAATTTTAACTCATGCTGAATACAACAAAAACAAATCTTGCTTGCTGAGCTCCACTTATTCTTGGTTGTCCTCTGACCCAGGAAGAGGTGGTGTGGTTATTATTAGGAAGAGCATGGGCCTTGGAGTCAGGGGACCTGGCTTGGTGTGTGAGCTCATACAAGCCACTTTCCTCAACTATAAAATGGGAACGAGAATACTGATCTCACAGGCACGGGACTGTATGTAGGATTACTTAATGCACTATATCTGGTACACAAGTCAGTACTCAATAGAAAGCTGTTGTTTCACTTTTCACTTCTAAGTGTCCACAGTAATAGCATTTCTCTGTTACTGCTTCTGATTTCCCCATTGTTTCCCTAAGGAAGGTGATGATCAGAGAAGCTATATATTGCAACATTAGCCTTATAAAAGTAACTGCATCTGGCCAACATCTACATTTCATTCAACAACTATGTGCCAGGCTGTGCTGTAGGACAGGGAGGCAGCAGGTGAATGAACAGCCCTGCCCTCAGAGAGCTTACATTCCAGTGGAAGATGACAGGTAAGCACAATATACAATGGGCCAGATGGTAGTAAGTACAAAGAAAAACAAGGCAGGGAAGCAGATTGCTCTTTTAAATAAGGTGGCCAGGGCAAGATTCTCTGATACAATATTTGAGCAAAGACTTGAAAATGAGGACTTGAACCACGTAGATAACTGGTGAGAGTAT